CTCCTATGTGCATTTACCATCTACTTAGTTAACTGTCAATCATTCTTATTGACTGACCTCTAACCAAAGTGCAGGAAAATATATAAATGAATGTGTATTATGGGCCAGGCATGGTGGCTCACATGTAATCCCAGCACTTGGGAGGCTGAGGCAGGAGGATCGCTGTGAGTTTGAGGCCAGCCTGGGCTGAGGTCAAGGTCTGAATTGCATAGTGAGAATCTGTCTCAAAAACAAAAACAAAGAAAAAAGAAAATGTATTATGGTAAATGATTTGCTTGAGAAAAACCATAAGGCCCCTAACCAGTGATATTAAAAACTTGCCCAATGTTTTTCAAGAAGCAAGATTTCAAAAACTACTTAACAGCTGGGCATGGTGGCACACACCTGTAACCCAGCATTTGAGAAGCTGAAGCAGGAGGATCGCTGGGTATTCAAGGGCAGCCTGGGCTACACAGCGAGACCCAGTCCCAAAAACAAACAAACAAAAACTGTTTAATAAAAGAAACTGAAAAGGAAAAAAAGTGCTTCAGAACATAAGGGATCAATATAATACACACAGAAATAAACAAAAAGTTACTGTGTTTTATTATATGCGATACAATTTGATCATGCAGATTAAATAGGAAAAAAGTCTAAATTATTTACTTGAATATAAAACGGGATAATAATAATAGCTAATATTGTTCTGAGCTTCAAATTCAAAGCTAATTTGTTACCAGTTAACAGTGTTCTAAGAGCTTTAAAAATGTGCCCTGACAACAGTGATTCTCAAATTTTTTGGTCTCACAACTCCTTTTACATCTCTTAAAAATTATTATGGTCCTTGACAAGCTTTTGTTTATGTGAGTTATACGAATTTATATTTACCATATTAGAATTTAAACTTTACACTTTAAAAATATGAACTCGTTTAGAAATGCATAAACCTATTAATGTTTACATAAATAACCTAATTTTATGAGAATAACTATATTTTCCAAAACAAAAAATAAATTTAACTGGAAGAGTGGTACTGTTTGGCATGTATGCAAATCCCTCCAATGTCTGGCATAAAGAGAAGACAGCTGGATTTTTGTATCTAGTTCTGCATTCAATCTGTTGTAATATCACATATCAAGTAGGCTTTGCAAAACTTCAAGAGACATTAAAAAAAAGGGGGAAACAAAAATAGCTGATACTTTCATAGCTTTATTTTGAAAATAGTTTGATTTCACAGTTGCCTGAAAGGGCTTAGCAATATACAGGGGGTCCCCAAACCCCGCTTTTATCTACCTCCTCGGAAGCAAACATGGATACTGAGGCACAAAGAAAATAAACAAGTCCAGTCCCGGAGCTGGGACGGGAACCCAGGAAGTCTGGCTCCAGACGTGCAGCTGCCCCTCCCAGGCCTGAGGAGAACGGAGGGTCCATTTTCATAATGTTTTAGAGGGCGGTGAGCAACTGCACTTGCCTGGCGGTCACAGTACCAGACCGCCCTTCCACTTAATGTGATAAAGTTTCAAATTAAATCTCTCCATCGGTGTACAGCAGAGATAAGAGGAAGGGAGCCGCTGCCACCACAGAGCTCACCCCCAGGCAGCGCAGACCTGCCTGCAGCAGAAACAACACCCTGCCCTCTCCTCTGAGGGAAACGGCACCTCCCCTCCCTCCCGGAAGGAGCAGCCCAGGCCTGGTCACCTCCCAAAGACCAGCTGTCACCCCTGCCCAGGCCAGGACATCTGCATCTCTCCCTCCACTCAAAGACTCTTCTCTACACAGCTTATTTACACAGAATACTGCCTCAGTCCTTAATTAAAATATTTAAAAAGAAGAGTAACAAAATGTACCATGTTATGACGTAGGTCCCATGATTCAAGAAGTAAATTTAAAAATAACTGTTCAGTAAGTTGAAAATTAAAAGCCTACTTAGACTTTCACTTTTAATCATATGCCAAGATAAACTCCAGATGTATTAACCACTCTCAGACGGAGAAAGACAAGGCAGGCAGGGGCAGGCGTTACCCCACCATGGGTCTCTCCCTGGGCCACCCGGGGTGACTCCCAGCCCTGTGGCCAACCCCTGCATGTCTTCCCTGTGTCTCGGTCCTCAGCTTCCAGGGCATAACCGGTGGGTGACAGGGGTACTGGCATGGAGAGAACACTTACTATAAACTGGAAAGTGCAGCCAGGTGTGGTGGCGCACGCCTGTAATCCCAGCACTCGGGGGCTGAGGCAGGAGGACTGTCCTGAGTTTGAGGCCAGCCTGGGTTACATAGTGAGACCCTGTCTCAAAACACCAACAGATAAATAAACGAATTAACAAATTGGAAAACGCCTTGCCAATTAACATAAGGAATAAAGATTAGAAAGCTTCATTCACCCCATGTTGCTATTCTTCAATATGTTTAACATTAATTTTTTGTTGTTGTACCAGGGATCAAACTCAGGACCTTGTGCTTTCAAGGCAGATGGCAGAACCACTGAGCTAAATCCCCATCCCCTTAACGTTAATATTTTAATGCTCAAACAATGCCAGGTTTCTTACAAATATACACGTGCGCACACACACACACACACACACACCCCAAGTTTTTTGCTCACCATCTTTATTTAATAAAGTAGACCACTTAAGTTGTAAAAACATACACTTTCCCTGGAGGCCTCAGTAAAGTTATTTTAATTCAGAAGGAGAAAAAGATGCAGCCCACAGACATGTTTATTTTTCCTGAATTGGTTCTTTTAACACAGAAGGCCAGGATGGTAAGATGGCTCCTGAGGGACCTGGGTGACTTTCTCTTGGCTACTTCTGTCAGACCCGAGAGAGGAGAGAAGCCCGGAGGTCACACAGGAGAGGGAGGTGGAAGTGCTCCACACAGGGAGCAAAAGACCGAGAATTAGAAAAGCCCAGGGCGCTGCTGACAAAGCCTCCTGCCTTTTCCTGGCCCGGCCCTCCTGCACAGACGAAAACATGAAAGTGAGGCAGCACCATGGAGCCCTGAGCTCCCCACTTCAGACGGTTGATCAGATCCAGGCCCAAAGCAAAGGCCCTGCCTTCTGCCTTTCCTGGCTCTCTTCACGGCTGCACCTTCCTGGCTTCTAAGACCTCCTTCCCCTGCCCCAGGAGGCTGCTCCAGCTTCAAAGCACCTGCCCTTCTCACAGAGGGTCACTCGCACTCTGGCCAGGACTACAACCCTTTCCCCACCCCATCTCGCTCCCTCGTCCATGACTGCCCGAGAGGTCCCTCGGCCCTGCACCAATGCCCCTACCTCCTCAGCAATGGCTGGGCCGAAGCTCACACCAGGCCGGGCAGTCAGGGGCACGAGGGGCGAACCTAACTCCCTTCCCCACCTCCCCACCGCTGTCAGGCCCAGATACACAGCTGTGGTTATCAAATGACACTGCACAAAGTGTTCCCACTGTACAGAGGGCTGGGTGGAGCCCATTAGTACCGCACCTGCCCAGTGGACGTAAAGCCATGAGCTCCACCTCAGCAGCACAAAAAACAATGATGAGAGCAGCAACAAAGAAATTATTACGATACAATAATGAAACTGGTCGTATTTATCAGTCCTGTACCTTCCGGTGTAAGAAACTAAGGAACACATACAGGTACAACGTGGCATAAATTTAGTCTCATGTTGTTCATTCAGTTTAGCTCATTTGAAACACTTAGTCACTAACTAGAACTGGAAGCATAGCAGTGGTTCATAAACTTCCGACAGTTTCTTTCCAGTCCTACTACTTTGCTGCCTTCTGCAAGTGTGTGTGTGTGTGTGTGTGTGTGTGTGTGTGTGGTACTGGGGACTGAACGCAGGGACTTCACACTGAGCTACCAACTGTGTTTTGGTTGTTTGTTTTGGGATACGGGGTCTTGTTAAACTGCCCAGGCTGGCCTCAAACTTGTCGTCCTCCGGCTGGGATGATAGGTGTGTGCCACTGCACCCCACTTAAATGCTGTGTCTTGAAGTTGTGATCCCTCCAAATAATCCTCATTTTGCGTGGCCTCGTGGTATGATGGTCTCACTGTCTTTATTTCTGCGTGTCACAGGTCTACAATTTCTATCGGCCTCATATGTAGTTTCCTCTATCTTTTGCCTTTATTTGTCTCTTGTCCTCTGCTCCGTATCTATCAACATTCACGCCTTTTTTTCTTCTTCTTTTAGGCAGGTTCTCGCTCTGTAGTTCAGGCTGGGCTTGAACTCCCTATGGAACCTAGGCCTGCTTCGAACTCACAGCAATCCTTCTGCCTCAGCCTCCCGAGTGCTGGGACCACAAGCAAGCACCACTCTGCCTGGCTCAAGTCTTCATTTTATAATGTTCTGCTTTTGGTTCATTTTGCTACTTAAGATGAGGGGCTTAGGGCTTAACCATTTTGAAGTTTATTACTCTTTCTTTGCAATATCCTGTTCATGCTTGATAGTACATAGCTATATACTTTTATAAGTAACTTCCATTCATTCCCTCAAGAAATATTTACTGAGAGTGGGAGAGAGAAGGGAGAGGGAAGAAGGGAAAGGAAAAAATATGAGAAAAGAGAGACACAGAGACAAAGTCTGAAAATAGGGAGGCATGGAAGGAAAGCAAGGGAATGGGGAAAAAGTAAGAACCAAGATACATCATGTAAACACATTCCTAATGATGAACGTCATACTGTATAACTGAATTGTACCAATAAACTCAATGAATAAAAATATCTTTACAATGCAAAAAAGAGAAATATTTACTGAGTACCAACTATATGCCAAGCATGAAGGTATAGTAAAGCTCTTCTCTCTTACACAGTTCATAATGTATAGCTTGGAACAGGCAATGAGATTATATTCTAACCACTGGCCTACAAAAAACGAGAAATAGAATTTACCAGAAGAAATAGTTAGCAAAGACCTTTTACAGGGCACAGGAACATAAATACTTTCAATCATATAATAAATCCAAGGTACAATGTAAAAAGGAAAGATCCCTCCTCTATTTATGAATTGTATCAGTAATTTAAAATTATAACAAAAAATATTTTCCAAACCTCACATCCACTGTATTATTCGACTCATGGTCAAATACTTCAAATGCCTCTTTGATTCTTTTGTGAAATTCTGCTACTTTTACCTCTGCAAAAGACAAAGTAAACCAAATTAGTTTAATTTGGAATTCAAAACAAAAATCCCAATGTCCAGACCAGAATCATCATAGGGAAGAACATCACCGATTCTCTCCCGATTTTCTTCATGCTTTGTTTAGCCTGTTCAACTCCCTTTGGAGATGTGAAAAATAGGATGGGCCATTTAAAAGTTATTTTTTCTGAAGCCTAACACCAAAGGTATTTTCATCTTCAGTATATAGTCACTGAATTTTCACATAGGTATTTGATCACGGAAACACCGAGCTCATGGCCGGGCATGGTGACGCACCCCTGTAATCCCAGCACTCGGGAGGCTGAGGCAGGAGGATCGCTGTGAGTTTAAAACCAGCCTGGGCTACACAGTAAGTTCCAGGTCAGTCTCAACTACGTAGTGAGACCCTGTCTCAAAAAACCAAAATAAATAAATAAATAAACAAACAAACAAATAAATAAATAAAATTTAAAAAAGTAAAAGTCCAAAGAATAAAATGAGTTTTTTTCATTTTTTGGTTTTTTTTTTTTTTGAGACAGGGTTTCCCTATGTAGTTCAGGCTGGCCTTGAACTCACTTTGTAGTCCAGGCTGGTTTCAAACTGGCGGCAATCCTCCTGACTCAACCTCCTGAATGCTGGGATTACAGGCATGTGCCACCATGCCCAATTTATTTTTGTTATTTTTATTTATTTATGTATATTTATTTTTGGTTTTTGAGACACAGTCTCACTATGTAGTTGAGACTGACCTGGAACTCACTATGCATCCCAGGCTGGTCTCAAACTCTTGCCTCAGCCTCCCAAGTGCTGGGATTACAGGTGTGCGCTACCACATCCAGCCACTACACCCAGTTTAATGTGAGAAATTTTTAAATCACTCATTCTTTCTTTTTTTGTATTTTTCCCCAATCTTCCTTTATACAAATATTTTCATTTACAAGCAAAGAAGTGTCACATTCTTAGAAAGCCAAGTTCAGAGAGGTTATGCAACTTGCTCAAGCCCATAATTATTTTGCAACAGAGCTGGACTGAATCCAGATCTCTGCTCTTCCTCCAACCCATCTCACTTTATCTTAGAACCACAGCACAGACGCAACACTGCAGGACAGTGCTGGAGCTCAAGGGCTGGTCTACCATGTGTAAGGCCCTGGCGTCCATCCCCAGCTCAGCGAAACAAACTAAGGCTATAATTCCCAGTTACTTCACCAAAATGTTAATTTTCCAGGTTGCTACATAATTACATAACTTTCCATTTCAACAGTACCTTAAGGAATGTACCACCACTTATTGATATAATTAATTTTCCTTTATTATAAATAATAAGGCAGTGAAAAACACGCAAACTTAATAAACCAAAAAATGAACGTTATCTCATTCTTTAAATATACACTTCCTGGATTACAAGCAAGTCTGAATAATGGTCCATGTATCTGTTTACTGTGGCCTCTGTTTCTGGTTATGAATTGTCTGCCCATGTGGCCAGCTCCTCCCTACCTTCAGTTGCTTCTTAACAATGTGTATGAGTGCTTAGAAAGACAGAACACTCACCCCTTTGTCAGAATTATGGCAAACAATTTTCAAGTCCGGGTGTATGCATTTATTTTCCTCAAATGGAGACAGTGCCCAGCGTGGTGACCCAGGCCTGTGATTCCAGCTGCGGGAGGTCAAGGCCTGCCTTGGCGATGTAGTGAATTCAAGACCAGCCCCAACCACATGGTGAGATCCTGTCTGAAAAAACTAAAAATGAGGGCCTGGGAGTACAAGTTTGATCCCCGGCACCAAAACTTAAAATTAATTAATCAACCAAATAAAATGGAAACAGCTCTACTTTCTTCTTGATCATCAAACTCATATACAATTACTGAAGTGTAGGCCAGGGAGGGAAAGATACGGGAAAGTTTAAATTAAGTAAAAATCTTCAGATCCTGTCATCCACATTCTTCATATTCTCTAAGCTAACGTTTCACTCAAACATGAAGTGAGCATTCTTCATCCTCAAGGAAATGTTAGACTGCCACGTTTAGTGACTGCTTGGTGTTCAATTACAGAGCATTATCAAAATGTGTTTAACAATAATAATATCTTGGGGGAAATATCCCCGATTTATAACAGTGCATAAAGCTGGCATCTGCTTTTTAAATGTAAATATATAAATAAAGTATCTTATCTTTGATCACAAAACTTGTTTTGTCAGTGATCTCCGTCCGGAATAATTAATTCCTTGATTAAGATCTAGACCTTCCCTAGCCAGAAGCCCTCACACGGGGCACTGGCTGGATGAGATGGGTCCCGGGCCCTGGAAATGTGGCTCCCCTTGTCCTGGTGCGAGCAGATGAAAGCACTTGTGCCAAGGAGGAGGAGGCCACAGCAGGACAGCGTAGGATGATGCCAACGTGAACAAAGCTTCTCACTGGTAGAAACGATAAAAAATGGCTGAACTCATTAAAAGTTTTGTCCGGAACTAAATATAAGCATTTCAAGCATAAAATCTGATACAGTGAAACCTGGGACTGTAACTTGTTCCTACAAAGCTTCTCACTGGTAGAAACGATAAAAAATGGCTGAACTCATTAAAAGTTTTGTCCGGAAATATAAGCATTTCAAGCATAAAATCTGATACAGTGAAACCTGGGACTGTAACTTGTTCTGCAAGTATTCAGCAAGATGAACAAACATTTCTAATAAATTCTAACTTGATAAAGTAGCAATGTCTTACAGTATGAATAGTACATGATGGGAAACATCCGATCCGAGCTGAGCAGAAGGTTCTTCTCTGCCTGCCTGCCTGCCTCCCCGCTGCCTCCCCGCATTGTTAGAGATCATCTCCCAACAGCAAGAGGTTACAGAAAAGATCTCCTCTCCAGAGAAGGGCAGAAAAAGGTGGCGGAATTCCTCACTTCAAATGAGTCTGGGGAGCTCTGTAAAATGGGGGAATTTTGTAGAAAGGCGCCACTCAAATGACGCAAAATCCTCAAAAGGAGGCAAAGCCTAGTGTCCTTGGGTAGGTTCCTTGTTAAAGTTGCATGAAAAGAAGAAGATTCCATTGAGCCGGTAGACAGCAGTGATTCCCTTAGTGAGAGTGAAAGTCGTCCTACACAATAACTCTCCTCTCTCTGGGCTCCCTCACACCAGCCACAAAGGTTTTCAAAGGTTAAGTGCAGGTTAATTTGTTTATTTTCTTTATATTTTGTATTTTCACTATTATTTTGTACTATGTCACTATATTGTAATCATTTTTATATGAATATTTTGGAGTTGTGGAACAAATCGTGAGTTTCCATTATTTCTTATAGGGAAAATTCACTTGGATACACAAGTGCTTTGGATTACAGGCATGTTTCTGGAAATAATTACGCTCACAAACCAAGGCTTTACTGTATTAAGAAGGAATATATTGGGAGGAAAGCTCAAGTTCCTTATCAAAACTTTAAAATCTGTTTGAAACTTTTAAAAAATTTATCATTTAAAATTTTTGTAAGTTTTATACCCTTACAAAAGTTATAAAGAAAATGAAATAATGTTTTTATCACACCCATAAATCCTGTGCTAGTCTCCACGTCCACACGCCGAAGCAAGAGAGCTGGGAAGGCCTGCCCTGCCGTCCTGGCTTGAGAATGCAGGGCTCACTTCCTCGGCTCAGGGAGGCCAGCGCCTCGAGATCCTGAGCAACACTGCACCTCCACTGCTGCGCACAGCCCTGTTCCTACTCCTGATCTGTCCTACTTTTTCCAGCTTCAAGAGAACTTTCAAATATGCAGAAAAGCTGAAAACTTAGTAAACAACTTTATGCCCACCGCCCAGGTTAAACTATTGTTGGTATTTTGCTATTTTTGATTCTTCCTTCCCTCTAACTGCAGACAGTGTGAAACGTCACCCTTGGGCATGCATCTCCTAAAAACACGGACATTTTCCTATATAATCACTATAATAAACTCCTGTTTAAATGCTATTATGGCATCTTTAAAAATTAACAAGAATCCACTAAGATCATCTACTATCTATTCTGTATTCAAATACCTCCATCTGTCCCCACACGACTTATAGCTATTTTTCAACCTAAAATCCAAAGTTGTATGCACTTCATTTAATTGTATATTTTAAACTAAAACAGCCCGCTTCCTTCCTCACTGCCGCACAAGCCCATGAAATCAGCTTGTGGAAGGCACATGGTGAACAACACAACGCCCTACAGAACGTCCTACCTTAGGGGCTGGACAGCATGCTTGCGTCAACCTTGTGAAAAACCACTCCTCGTTACCGTTCCTTCAGAGCACAGTATCTGCTCTTCTCCCCGCTGGTGTTCGTCCCTGGTTCCCTGACCACGGTTTCCACACTTACCAACTAACTCAGTTCCAACAAGGCATCCATCCTCACAATTCCGTGGGATCCCCATCTTGTTATTCTCATTACCAAACACTTCTGCAGTCTGTCTTTGCCTTTCCATTTCCCCTGCCACTGCTTGGAGTCAGCACCTTATCACTTCCAGAGGGATCTAGGCAGTCATTTCCTGCCGTTCCCCTTTCCTTGCTTTTCCAAGCCACTGCTCAGCAGCAGTCCACACTGAGCAGGACGATCCCTTTCCTCCCTTTATCTTTTCAGGGCTGGGGATCAACAGCCTCATGCACACTACACGAGTGCTCTCTGACTGTGCCCCTGGGAAATCTTCGTAAAATGCAAATTCCATCATCCGACCCAAGGTTACAAAAATCCTTCGATGGTTTCTGAGGCCTTTTCCAAATAACACTGAACCTGCTGAACCAGGCATGGAAAAGCCTTTCTGAAGTAGTCCCCTACCCAGTTCAATGCCATCTTTTAATCCTCCACCCTACAAATCTGAAGTTTCTCAATGATTATGCTTTTTCATGCCTTTCTGAAAGGAATTCATAATTGCCCTCCGATTTCCTTGCTAACTCCTACTCATCAAGGTTGAGTAACTCACCTTGTGAAGCCTTTCTTCCTCTTTTCAGTTGTAGTCACGCAGCACCCACAGATATCTCAATCATAGTCTTATATCAACTTCTGTTGTAATTAGCACCCTACTCGTCTGCCTTCCATTATATAAACACCTTCACAAGAATGACTCTGACAGTGCCTGGAACATACTAAATGCTCAATGAATGCTTGCTGAGTAGTAGTTAATAATGGGATTAATCCATCGTTCCCCTTTTTGGTGTTTCATTTGGTATCATTATCAAAGTTATATTTATTCCCTTCCAATACTAAAATTGGATATTTCTTTTTTTTTTCTATTTATATAGTGGAAGAATTATCTTTTCTAAAGAAACTGGCAGGCTAATATGATGAAATGCTGCGGTTATATACTCAGCAACATATTAGGGCTGGGGATTTGGCCTAGTGGCACCACACCTGCCTCACAAGAGCAAGGTCCTGAGTTCGATCCCCAGTGCAAAATAAAAAAAATTAAACAACATATTAAAATGATTACACACTATCAGCATGTGGCATTTATTCCAGGCATACAAGATCGGCTTAATATATAAATCTCAAAGTAATATGCTACATTAATAGAGTGAAAGGAAATTCGTCAACATAGTAGGCATTTATGAAAAACCCACAGCTGAAACATAAGAATCAAGACGGATTATGTAAAGGTACAGATTTCCGATGATGAATGTCATTATATTATATACATAAAATGTACCAATAAAATTAAAAAAGAAAGAAAAACCTGCCTTAGGTTGAGCACGACAATGGCTTTTCGCCTAATCCCTGCTCCCTTTCTGCTCCACAGATTAGAGAGTCGAGTCTGACTCACGTCGCAGACCCCGGACGGCACAGCCCAGGGGACAGGGACATCCGGTACGCGTCCCTGTTCCCGTCCTGCGCATGCCCCATCGCAGAACAGTGGCACCACTTCCGCCTGGCCACGCAGACCACGCAGCGCTGTTTGCCCCGCCTTCTCTTCCTGTTTGCCTTCCACTACAAATACAGAGCACCCGTGGTGCTCCATGCGGCCGTTAGCGCCCCGCGAGCTATGGTTCCACCCGGTCCCAAACTTCCAAATAATCTTGGTCTCTTCCTCGTCTTTTCTTCATCTGCCACCGCTCCCCCCGGCTTTGGACCCTACACTGTGTGGGTTGCGGCAAAAACCCACAGCGAACTTTTCCTCTAAGATCAGAAACCAGATAAGGTTGCCTAATTTCATCACTCCAATTCAACAAATAGTATTTTTCAGCCTTAAGAAAGAAGGAAACGCTGACACGGTATAACATGGATGAACTTTGAGGACATTATGCTAAATGAAATAAGACACAGTAGGACAAACACCGTCTGATTCCACCTACGTGAGGGGCCTACAATGCTCCACACATTGAGATACAAAGCAGAAAAGAGACTCAGAGAAGAACCAAGACCCTAGAGAAAGGAGGAATGGGGAGTTACTATTTCTTGGGTGCAGAACTTAAGTTGGTTTGTTTTGGTTTTGGTTTTGGTTTTTGAGACAGGTCTCACTATGTGGTTGAGACTGACCTGGAACTCACTGTGTAGCCCAGGCTGGTCTCAAACTCACAGCAATCCTCTTGCCTCAGCCTCCCCAAGTGCTGGGATTACAGGCGTGCACCACCACACCTGGCTCAGAACTTCAATTTGGAAAGATAAGAAGTTCAGGAATGAACAGTAGGTGATGGTTAAACAGCATTGTGAAAGTTTAATCACTTCACTGTACATGTAAAATGGTTAAGAAAATTCTAAGATTTAAATTCAAAAAGGAAGAGCCAGGGATTTGGCTCAGTAACTCTGCTGCCTGCCTTGCAAGCACAAGGGCCCAAGTTCGATCCCTGGTACCACTAAAAAAAAAAATTTAAATTAAAAGGAATGTGCTGTGGCAGGGCATGATGGCACACACCTGTAATCCCAGCACTCAGGAGGCTGAGGCAGGAGGATCGCTGTGAGTTCGAGACCAGCCTGGGCTACATAGTGAGCTCCAGGTCAGTCTCAACTGCATAGTGAGACCCTGTCTCAAACCCCCTCCCCAAAGGAATGCGCTGTGATAAAAAATATTATAAATGAAAAAAGTTATAAATGTTCTAAAATTGACAGGCGTGGTTGTAGTACATATCTGTAAATACACTAAAAACAACTGAATTACACACTTCAAATGGACAAACCATATGGTATGTGAGATGTATCCTAATAAAACTTTTATAACCATGTGTGGTGGCACATATCTGTAATCCTAGCACTTCACAGGCTGAGGCAGGAGGATTGCCACAAGCTGAAGGCCAGTCTGGGCTACTAGTGAGTTCAAGAGTATCCTGGACTGCACAATAAGGCCCTGTCTCATTTGGGAAAAAAAAAGTTGTTATAAGAAGAGGAGAGGAGCTGGTGCTGTAGCATATGCCTATAATCACAGTACTTGAGAGGCTGAGGCAGGAAAATCACTACAAGTCTGAGGCCAGTCTGGGCAACATAGTTCAAGTACAGTCTAAACTGTATAGTGAGACTGGCTCAAAAAAAAAAAAAGAAAGAAAGAAGGGAAAGTACATTATAATTCTTAGACAAATATTTACATAAACATTTCTATTACATGATGAGTGCATTTTATAGAAATGAAAATTTTACTGAAAATTAAAAATAAAAATTCTATAATATAGGCCAAATGCTTAATGCAAATTTTCTTCCAGAAGAATTCCAAAAATACAATAACATTTTTATTTTTATGAAGGCAATCCATTTTATATGGCAATGTAATACTGGCAAGCATTAGATCAAATGTATCTATAAAAAACAAACATTTTATTTAGAAGCATCTTAACAGCTCAAGGATAAATTTCCATAAATGTGTTTCCCTACCAAATGACTCCAGTATGAAAATGTTTGTTTCAGTTCAATGTTTGAACTGAAATGTTTGTTTTTGTATTAATAATATTCAAAAGTTTCTCAACTCTATGACAATTTCCCTTCTCAGTGATTAACTACTGATCAGAAAACCAGTACAAATGACAGTAATTTAGTGATAGAACTATTTCAAAAGCATTGGTGTAGAAAAGATAAAATAAAAATTGTCTCAATACAACCCAATAGACTCATTACCACTGTTGTACGCCCTTCCCCCACTGCTAACATTTTCCATGAAACAACTTAACAAAAGGTCAATATCTATCCTGTAGCAGCAGTAAATGGGCAGAAGCAGCCTCATCAGAATCCTCTATCTGCTCTCTATAGTCACCTCTGCCAGTACTGAAGGGGAAAGCTCTGCACCATATTGTAATCTGTCTCCTATGCCCTACTATGTAGAGTTCATTCTTGTGCCATCTGCTCAAAATCCTAACCTAAAGATATAATCATAGTCAGGCACAGTAGCATGTGACTATAGTCCCAGTACTCATGAGGCTGAGGCAGGAGGATCATTGGAGCCCAGGAGTTCAAGACCAGCCAGGGCAACATAGTGAGACTAACTCAAAAAAAAGGATATACATATATAGATATAGATTCCACACCAAGTGCATCTCTGTGGGGGAGAGGGCTGCCTCTGCTTCTGCTCCATAACTGCTTTCCTTAACACCCCACCTGGCCACCCAGACTTGTTTAAAAGTTGTGCTGACAGCTCCCCTCCCACTTTTGTATTCACAAGAGCCAGGGACTTGGTATGGATGTATTTTAAACCACATTAAATGAGAGTCTGTTTCAAAAAAAAAAAAAAAAAAAAAAAAAAAAAAAGTGCCCCTACTAAAGAAAAATTAACACCAATCCGTTGCCAAAAAAATCCTTTTTTCTTAAAAAACAGAAAAAACTCTTCCTAACTTACTCCAAGAAGAAGCCAATATAAAATAAACCTGATTTATCTTTTACTTTTCTTTCCCTTCTTTCTCTTCCTTCCTTCTCCCCCTCTCCTTCCTCCCCCTCTCCTCCTCTCTTAGATGGGAACTCACCGTGCTGCCCAGGCTGGCCTCAAATTCTTATTAGATTCTAGCAGTCCTCTTTGCCCTGGCCTCCAGTGTAGCTGGGGCTATCAGAGTACACCATTGCAGCCAGCCTAAATTTGTTTTTTTTAAAACAAGATGTCAAGGAAAGGAAAGCTACAGACCAACATCCCTTGTAAATATCGATGCAAAAATTCTCAGAAAAATACTAACAAACCATATCTTGCCACACATCAAAGGGATGTGCGGGACTTGTCACAGGAATACATCATGAGTCAATGTAAAATACCAGATCAATAGAATGAAGGGAAAAACACATGGCAATCTCAGCAGACACTGAAAAATTTTTGACACACCTGTTAATCTCAGCAATATGGGAGGCTGAGGCAGGAGGTCACAAATTTCAGCCCAACATGAGCAACTCAGTGACCTCACAAGACCTTCTTAAAAAATAAAAATATTCAAAAAAGGCCTGGGGAATGTGTGAAGGCCCTGGCTAGATTCAATTCCAAGTACTTCCAAAAAAAAAAAAGGAGGGGGGAGAAGAAAAAGAAAAAAGAAAGAAGTATTTGACAATATCCAACATCTTTCACAATAAAACATTCAAAAAAGTAAGACAATAAGGGAATTTCCCCAAAATAACAAAGGGCTTTTATGAAAAACACAACTAATGTCATACTATAGGCCACAGGTACTTTCATGCCCTGAGATGCAGTGCAGTTCAGAGAGGAAACAGCTGTTAGATATCCTTCTGGCTCCCACTGTATTTCCAAGGGCACCTGAGCTAAGTTTAGAGCACAGCTGCCAAAAGTAAGCAGCTTGGGAAAAAC